AAATGGCTGGAGTATAAGATGATGCACCTCTTTGGAAAACATTTTGGCAGTTCCTCAAAAAGTGAAACATAGTGTTACTATGTCATCCAGGAATTCTACTCCTAGGTATATACTCAAAGTAATTGAAGACATATGTTCACACAAAACTGTTGATAGCAACATTGTTCTAATAGCCAAAAAGTTAGAAACAACCAAAATGTCCATCAATTGAAGAATCGATAAACAAAAATGTGGTATATTGATACAATGGAACATTATTTAGCAATAAAAATAAATGAAGTATTGATAAATTCTACAACATGGAAAAACTCTGAAAACATTATGCTAAGTCAGTGGTCGGCAAACTGCGGCTCGTGTGCCACATGCGGCGGCTCTTTGGCCCCTTGAGTGTGGCTCTTCCACAAAATACCGACTTCTGCGCATGGGCCACGAAGTTTCAATTGCACTGTACATGCGCGCCCACACGTGGTATTTTGTGGAAGAGCCACACCCAAGGGGCCAAAGAGCCGTGTGTGGCTCGCGAGCCGCAGTTTGCCGACCACTGTGCTAAGTGAAATAACAGGTACCAAAGGACATATATATTATTCCGTTTATATGAGCTGTCCATGATAGGGAAGTCCATAGAGACAGAAATTAAATTAGTAGTTACCAGGGATTGAGAGAAGGAAATGAGGAGTGATGCTAATGGGCACAGGGCTTCTTTTTGGGGTGATGAAAATATTCTGGAATTAGTAGTGGAATTAGATTGCACAGCTCTGTGAATATACTAAAAACTACTGAATTGTACACTTTAAAAGTGAGTTGTGTAGTGTGTGAATTATATCTCAGTTTCATAAAGCGATGAAAGAAATGTCCAAGAAAAAGGTAGTAAATTTGACTACAGGGGGAAAAAATGCATTGGGATTATTTATGGGAAAAACTCACTTCTATTCTCTTCAACTCACACTCACAACACTTCTGACACCACATCAAGCAATTCTGTGATAACAGCTAAGTGTTCTACAATTCATTTCAGTTCTAACACAGTCTACCTGTGAGTCTTACACGTCTCACAGGTTAAGGACTCCGTCCCACAAGACTGCCCATTCCCCACTTCAGGATGTCAATTGCAAGTCCAGGTTGTCACTGATGCTGCTGACCAGCTGGCTATAAATCAGAGGTTCCCATGACCCCCTTTCTCAGGTCCAATTATTTGCTAACGCAGCTCAAAGAACTCAAGAAAACAGCTTACTTACTAGATTACTGGTTCATTATGAAAGGATATAACTCAGGAACAGCCATAGGAAAGAGATTCATAGGTGAGGTCCAGAAGGGTCCTGGGTGCAGGAACTTCTCTGCCCCTGTGGAGGTTAGGTGTGCCACCCTCGAGCACGTGGATATGTTCACCAGCCCAGGAGTTCTCCAAACCCTGTATTTTGGGAAATTTTATGGAAGCTTCATCAGGTGGGCATAATCAATCATGGACTCAATCTCCTGCCCCCTCCTCTTCCTGCAGGACAGGCAGGGAGCTGCAGGCTCCAACCTCCTAATCATGGCTTGGTTGGTCTTTCCAGTGACCAGCTCTCATCCTGAAGCTATCCAGGCCCCCCCTCCCCCAAGAGTCTCCTCCTTAGAACCAAAGAGATTGCTCTCATCCAGGAAATTCCCAGGGATGTAGGAGGTCTGTCAAGAACCATGGTCAATGTTCAAACGTTAGAACAAAAGATGCTCCTAGTGCTCTTATCACTTAGGAAATAATAAGGGTTTTAGGAGCTCTGTGTGAGGAACTGGGAGCAGAGACCATATATATTTTTTAAAAATTTATTTCACAATGTCTGCCGAAACCAGTTTGGCTCAGTGGATAGAGCGTCAGCCTGCGGACTGAAAGGTCCCAGGTTCGATTCCGGTCAAGGGCATGTACCTTGGGCAGCTCAAAGAACTCAAGAAAACAGCTTATTTACTAGATTACTGGTTCATTATGAAAGGATCTAACTCAGGAACAGCCATAGGAAAGAGATTCATAGGTGAGGTCCAGAAGGGTCCTGGGTGCAGGAACTTCTCTGCCCCTGTGGAGGTTAGGTGTGCCACCCTCGAGCACGTGGATATGTTCACCAGCCCAGGAGTTCTCCAAACCCTGTATTTTGGGAAATTTTATGGAAGCTTCATCAGGTGGGCATAATCAATCATGGACTCAATCTCCTGCCCCCTCCTCTTCCTGCAGGACAGGCAGGGAGCTGCAGGCTCCAACCTCCTAATCATGGCTTGGTTGGTCTTTCCAGTGACCAGCTCTCATCCTGAAGCTATCCAGGCCCCCCCTCCCCCAAGAGTCTCCTCCTTAGAACCAAAGAGATTGCTCTCATCCAGGAAATTCCCAGGGATGTAGGAGGTCTGTCAAGAACCATGGTCAATGTTCAAACGTTAGAACAAAAGATGCTCCTAGTGCTCTTATCACTTAGGAAATAATAAGGGTTTTAGGAGCTCTGTGTGAGGAACTGGGGGCAGAGACCATATATATTTTTAAAAATTTATTTCACAATGTCACTAACATACCATACAAAGGTAATCAGAGTCCATATGGGATTCCCCCAAAGGAAGAAGAACACCCACTTATTTGGTAGGATGGGGCAATATGAGGGAAGACTTCCCACAAAAGGACTTTAGGGATGAGGATATCCCAAGGCCAGTCACTGGGGACAGAGCCCTTTTCAGAAACAGCAGGTAATTGGGCGTATGGGGTTGGCAGGCAAAGAAAGAGAAGAAGGCAGTGATGAATAAGAGCCTTGGGGGATTCAAATCAGGGGAGAAAGGATGGACTTGTTAATAGTGGTGTTGGTTTAACTGAAGGCCACATGAAAAAAGATAAAATTGAAATCATTTTTCATACTGCATAATACCATTTGTCTCTCCAACAAGGTCATGAGCTCCTCAAGGACAGTGTTAGAAAACCTTCAATCTGGTTCCATTGAACTTTTTCCTCCAAAAAAATGAAACCAGAATATAGGCCTCAGTGGAGTGGTCAAAATCTCCCTCCGAGGAAAAGATTAAGACATTCGGCCATTGGCATTTACTCCAGCTTCTAGTTCTCACTGCCAGTTTACAGGAAATACAGGAGATAAAGGAGTCTGTTCAGTGACAGACACCACAGGGTACAATCAACAAGATCTAGAATGTGGTTACTTCAGATTTGTTCTGCTGCTTTGTGAGCGGCTTTCTTTAACAAATAAATGCCCCCCTCCCTCTCCCCCCCCCCACCCTAAAAAGAGGAAGCTTTATCTCTTAAAGATAACGATTGAATTATTTACAGATGAAATGGTCCGATCTTTGGTATTCACTTTAAAATAATCCAGTAGGGGTGTGAAGGGCAAATAGGAGGTATAAATGAAACAAAACGGTATGTTTGTTAATAATTATTAAAGTTAGATGACAAGTAAATGAAGACTTATTATACTATTCTTGTTACTTTAGGGTACATTTGAAAATTCCCAGAACCAATGAAGGCTTTTTCGGCAGGAGAATGCCAAGATGAAATTGGCATCTGAGGAAGTGTAGCCCTGGGAATAAGAAGGCTAGAGAGGGTGCTGTCGGGAGGCTCATAGTTCAAGGACTGAACTGCTCCACTGGGAGTGGAGGGGAGGTTCTGGACAGGACAGTATGAAAGGAAACGCGCAGAATTGGAGAAGCTAAAGAAATGGGAATCGAGGGTGACGCTCAGGTTTCAGGCTGCATGATGGGGCCGTTCACCCAGCAAAGGAATTCAGAAGAGATTAAAGTTAGGGGTGAGGGAGTGATAGATCAGTTCCTGACAGGTTACATTTGAGGTGCCTGTGGACATCCAGAGTTTAGGAAAGAGGCCTGCACTGGAGATGGGTTTTGGCAATTACCAGCTGCAGCACAATTTTCATGGAAACATGAAAAGTGTAGGCACAAGAAAATGCTCCAGTCATGTGCAAGCATTATCCAATTAATAAATTACTCTAGGGCACTTTTAACATGAAAAAATCGAAGTGGCTTAACCCAGGAGACAAATATAAGAGAACCAAATAGTATATGATATCCATGCTATTCTGTTTCTCTCAATTTCCACATTGAACTTGTGATAGAATGTCAAGGTTTAACTGCAGGATTTCCTTATTTTGCTTTATTTTCTCCAATAAAAGAGTTTTCAAGAAAACACTGTGGTTTTGATACATGGTAGGGATGGGGGAAGGAACCTCATGTGAAAGATCAAACTTTATCTTTTCGTTTTTACTTTGCCTTTCTTCTATTTTGCTCCTTCCATGTTGTCTACGGTATTGTAAAAACTGAAGGAAAATGCCCAAACCATCTAGGTCTAGGGCCATCCTTCAATTTCCTGTCTTTAAAACAGCCATGACAGTGTTAAATCCTTGGGTTGACATGTGTATCCGGAAGGAGCCACAGAGCCCCTGATACAAAAAAGCAGTTTGTGTCTGGGATTGATTTATGCCTTTGGAGCAGGACAAAGAGAAGAAAACCCAGCCCCTATGGTATCTGTTGCTGGGGAAGCTCAGGCCATCTGCCAGGCTCTAATAAAACAGGACAAAACAACATTTGGTTTGAAGCACAGAATGATTTTCCAAAGTGAAAATAAAGCTTGTCCGCAGTTGAGGCTCTTGTAAGTCTTTAAATATATATATTTGTCTTTAGCATTTATATTCAAATAAAAAGTAAAGGACATCTTTTTCTGTTCTGGGCTTATACTCAAAATCTTGCGTTGACAACCCAGTTCTAACTCCTCAGCCTGCCATGGGAAGGCTCCATAATTTGGTTTCACCCAAGACCACTTAAATCAGAATTTTGAGGGGTTGGACCCAGGCATTAGTTCTTTAAAAAAGAAATTCACGTAAGAACTGCAATCAAAAAAAAAAAGAACTGCAATCAAGGTTGAGACCCCTGTAGTTACAATGTGAGTGAGGGAAAGACAGCTGAGGCGTTTGGACTATCTATGGTCAGAAGTAAATGTGAAACGTTAAAGTTTTTCAGGGCTTCGGGGGGCAGCGATGATGCGTGCCCGTGTGTGTCTGTGCGTGGGGGATGTGCATCACCTCTCTCTGCCCTGCTCACAGGTCAGCGCCGTGCGGGTGCATGTGAACAGCTCTTCCGAGAACCTTGACTACCCGGTCCTGGTCGTGGTGCGTCAGCAGAAAGAGGTGCTGTCCTGGCAGGTTCCACTGCTCTTCCAAGGACTGTAAGTGTGTCTTTTCCCAGACAACTTCACGACATCACTTCCTTTCAATGGCCCAGATCTTAATTGGTCTTTGCAGTGGTTGGCAAACTCATTAGTCAACAGAGCCAAATATCAACAGTACAACGATTGAAATTTCTTTTGAGAGCCAAATTTTTTAAACTTAAACTATATAGGTAGGTACATTGTTATTAACTTAATTAGGGTACTCCTAAGGCTTAGGAAGAGCCACACTCAAGGGGCCAAAGAGCCGCATGTGGCTCGCGAGCCGCAGTTTGCTGACCACGGCCCTAGTGAAATGAGAAATCTGACATTTGGAATGTTGACATATGAGGCATGCTCAGTGCAAACGCTAGTCGTGGTACATACCCTACATGTTCAGCTCTGCTCAATATCCATCCCCTTTGAAGTTCACATGAGAACTCTGCCCAGATTTGTAGCACCTCGAAGAACTTTTTCCATTGTAATTCTATTCAGATTCAAATAAATGTTCTGTAGCTCTTGGTTGGTTAGTGGGTCATCCATTGAGGACAGGGGCAGGCCCAGAAGTCAACCTAAATGAGTGACACTTCTTCCATTCTTCAAAATGCCCACCGAGTCTACAATCTTCATTCCATAATATGTATTGAGCATGAGTAGGTGATAGGTGCTGGAGTACAACAGTGGGGAAAAGATCCCAACAAAGTGTCTACCCTCATGGAATTTATATTTTTACAGGGAAACTACACAAGGCACTATAGGACTATAAGTGAAAACCCAGAAGGCATTCAGACATGGACATAGAGTATGAGTTATAATGATTTTTAAGGCGGAGGAATTTGAGAATTAAAATACTGATTTGGACTCTGGGACTTTCTTTATGTTCCATGTAGCAAAAGCTTGAAGAATAAAAAAAAAAAATGGAGTCGCCTGATTGTTTTATCAGGACAGTTTCTTTTTTGCAATGTGGTATTTTTCCTCTTTGAATTAGGAGGATGGGTTAGTGTAATGTAGTCACTGCCTAAGTGAACAGGTCAGCACTAAACAGACTTCACAGCCCTGTTACTATGTCACAGAGTCCTACACCAAAAACACTGCTTCTGAAATCACTATCAATGGGTCCAGTCTGACATTTAAAATATAAGGGCTTGAAAACAAATTTGGAGAGAAGTGAATCGCAATAAACTTCTTTCCCAGCTTGTTCATTGAGTCTCTCTCTCTCTCTCTCTCTCTCTCTCTCTCTCTCTCTCTCTTTCTGGCTGATCTTTCCCTCCATTGGCTGCTACAGATACCAGAGGACCTACAACTATCAGGAAGTGAGCCGCACCTTATGTCCATCAGAAGCAACCAATGAAACAGGACCGCTGGAGCATCTGATATTTGTAGATATAGCATCCATGGCACCCCTAGGCGCCCAGTACAAACTGCTGGTTACCAGGATCCAGCACTTCCAGCTACAGTAAGGAGGACTCCCTGGGGCCGTTCTCTGTTCACTTGTCTGCTCTTCCTGTGCATGTGCATGCTCAACCCAGCTTCCTTCCTTACAGAAGGACATTTTCTACTGGGCACATTGTCTTAGCACCTTCTGACCTCTCCTGTTCACAGATGGGCAGCAGGGCCTTATGTGCTCTGTGCAATAGGGAGGCAGTAGGAGACTGGTGTAGAGAGGAAGGGTGGTTCACCTCCTAGGTGTCTGTTCTCAGGGACGAGTGAGGGCCCTGTCCTGTCTGCAGTCCAAGCAGGTGTCACTGGTGGCCGGGTATTTTGTATTACTCTCCTGAAGGAATTTTTGTTTTAAGAAAGACCTTAAATAATTTTCTTCTATCCTTATTGCTATTCCATTTTTCTCCTCCCAGGTTAGGAATGTGCATAGTTAGAAAATAGTTTTAAGGCAGAAAAGGATCCTGATAGCAGTGGGAAGAGGATAGAATGAATGAAAGATGCAAGCAAAACACTCTTAAGAAGCTGGTTTGTGAAGGAGAGGGAGGATATAGAACAGAGGTCCTCAAACTTTTTAAACAGGGGGCCAGTTCACTGTCCCTCAGACATTCCACACATGCGCACTGCGGGCCGGGACGAGTCGGCTGCTAAGCAGGACAGGCAGCGGCGGCAAAAACACCCGGCGGGCCAGATAAATGTTTTCGGCGGGCCGCATGTGGCCCGCAGGCCGTAGTTTGAGGACCCCTGATATAGAATAACATCAAAGAAGGGAAATACAAGGAAAGGGAAGGAAAATTGTTGGGTTGTTTTTGTTTGTTATTTATTTTGAAAATGGTTGAGACTAGAATATATTTATAAACCAAAGGGTAGAAAGGCAAATAAAAGTGGATTTTGTAGAAGCAAAGTCCCAGAGAAGGGAAGAAAGTATAGGATTTAGCGCATATGTGCAAAGTCTATACTTACACTAGAGCGATGGGGTAGAGGGTTACAGTGGACTGGAGCATCGGTAGGGGAGGGTTGGGTAAGCAAAGGGAGTTCCTGACAGATGGCAGTAAGCAGATAAGAGAAAGTGATATTCTCAAGTCCATAGTACAAGTGAATAATAGAGTATAATTTCCTTCAACAACAAAGCAGGGGTTTAGAACGCCTTCTCTGATCTGTGAAAGGGGCTTGCTATCATAAAGTAGATAATATGCCCTGAATCTCACAGTCCTTTCTGGTACTCACCTCAAAAACCACTTAGCTTTTGTCCTTACTTCTCTCTCACTTACCCTTTCTTCCCATCCCCCTTTCCCTTTTCTTATGTTTGATTACTCCCCTGTATATATTTCTCTTATCTTCCCCATGAGCCTCCCTCTTCTTCTTCTGTCTTATCTGCATGCTCATCTCTCTTGATTCCACCTGTCCCTTTTCTCTTCCCCCTCTTCCTCAAACTAGCCAAGACAAGGGAACTAAGTCAGTTTTCAGTTTTTCTTACATTTATTGAATAATCATTTATTTCCTGGGTTTAAAACAAATAAGACGAAGTTTTTATACTTCTCTTTCTAAAATTAAAGGTGCACTTGAGTCGGCAACTGACTTTGTTCTGTTGGGTAATGACCCTTGATAAAACAAACCTCGCCCCCTCTGTCAGAGCCTATGGGGAAGGAAGCAGAACTTTCCATGTGTAATAGACACAATGTTTGTTTTGCACACACTGTTGACTCCGTAAGAAAGGGAGCACTTAAATGTGACGATCTTAAAGAAAACAATATGTGTTAAATGTTTGTGTGTGTTGTACTGGTAAAGAAAAAATAAATAACAAGAAATAAGGCCTCAGAAAATTTATATCAGTATTCATACATTCCATTACAACTGGAATTCAAGTGATAGGGAGGAATATAAAAACGTATTTCTGGCCAAAGGAATCTGGTTCCTTCTGGATATTTCATGATGTGTGTTGCTAGCCAAGAAAATCAGTGTCCTTTTTGTTCCCCTGACCTGGCAACGAACAGAATTGTTGCCCTGGTAACAGCAGATGGCACTCCCCACACTAAGAGGGCGCTACCTGGCACACACAGCACTGTGGGTTGTCACTCCGGCCGGCCATGGCATCAAAGGAGCACATACACAACTGGACTTGACACTGACTTTGGGGCTCTTTAGGTGACTTAAGGCCACAAGCTCTCAACTGTACTTCAGCAGAATCAATCCTCAACACTGAAGATTATTTCTGTTGGGTGCGGATATGTAAAAATTGCATCCATTGCTAAATTCTGAGCCCAGTCTGTCAACAGCCTAAATTGTTGGTCATTACCTTTAGAAATAGTGCTCAAATTTTATGACTTTTAAACAACACCTTCAATTATAAATTTCTTACTTAAATGTTTTGGCATGCCCTTTCTAAAGGAATCTTTAACACAATTGTTTAACACTATTTAATTTTTATAAAAGGAAAATTAGGAGTGGAGAGAAAGACTCTTTAGAGAGCACCAGGCTATGAATCTGGGGAGGGACCTCAGAAGAAGTTCAGGTTAAAATTCCCAGAAGTTCAGGTTCAGATTCCCAGAAATACAAGCCACATTGGAGGGTTGGGGGCATGCCATTCCCCAGGTGTGGACGCTGAGAGTGTGGTGTGGGTTTGTGTAAGTGATATTCATGGCTAAAGATGAGGCAAAACCCACAACAAATAAAAAGCTAAAGCAAAACTGTATCGAGGACCAAACTTGTCTTTGTGTTTTCCAGCCTCTTGGACTGTTTCACATACGTTCATTCCAGACAGCACTCTGTGCCACAAATGTGTGCTATCTGCATGCTCCTCAGCCTCTCCTTTTCTCTGTGTTGGACCATTGCTGTCTTTCACAGAAGAATGAAAGAACCTAATCCAATAATTCACAGTACATTATCACCTGGAGAGAAAATAACTCCATTATATTATTTTGGTGCTATTTGCTATTTACTGTCATAGACAATTTTGCCTTTGGGATAACTCAAGCTTTTATAATCAACTAGAGGCCCAGTGCACGAATTCGTGCACTGGTGGGGTCCCTCAGCCTGGCCTGCAGGGATCGGGCCAAAACCAGGTCTCCAACATCCCCCAAGGAGTCTGGATTGTAAGAGGACGGTTCTCAGGTGATGCACCCCAGAATCAAGCTTCCTCCTCTCTGGTTCTGGGTGCATCACCTGAGAACCGCAGTTGCCAAATCACCACAGCTTGGCAGCTCCTGCGTTGAGCATCTGTTCCCCGGTGGTCAGTGAGCATCATAGCTATCGGTCAGGCAGTCAAACGGTCGGATGGTTGTTTAGGCTTTTATATAGATAGATAGTAAAAGAGATCCTGAAGGCAGTGACTAACCCAAAGAGGACAAAATCTTGGAGGAGAATTTCAGCTGGTGTGGCAGACAATTGGGGAAATACTTGTGGGCAGGAAGAGTATACTCCTATTCCTAGGGACTGTCCAATGGCCATTATCTATTCACCACATTTTTTTTTAATATATTTTATTGATTTTTTACAGAGAGGAAGGGAGAGAGAGAGATAGTTAGAAACATCGATGAGAGAGAAACATCGATCAGCTGCCTCCTGCACATCCCCCACTGGGGATGTGCCCGCAACCCAGGTACATGCCCTTGACCGGAATCGAACCTGGGACCTTTCAGTCCGCAGGCCGACGCTCTATCCACTGAGCCAAACCGGCTTCGGCTATTCACCACATTTTTTACAAAAATGATCTTTTGCCATGGTTACATCAAAATTATTTTGAGGTGTTATCTTCATTGTTGAAAAGAACCTCCCATCTTCTTTTCCTCTTTCAGCCCACTTCTAACACCTAAACCCTGTGCTTGATTATAAAATCTTAAGAGAATCCAAAGGCAAAAGTAAACAAAGTACGTACTTGTATAGGTATGACTTCATGGGTATTTAAAGACATAAAATTGACTCCCTCCCCAATTTGGTCTTTCCTGAGAGTTGAAGTTAGCAAATTTCCATGCAGTTTACTTTGTAAGTTTGATGAGAACAGTCTTCCCTTCACAAAGAATAAGGCTTTCCTTGCATCTGGTTTAAGATGGCTTTCTTTTAAATAAATAACTTTTGCTTGCTAATTTATTATGTTTTCCTCTCATTTTCCCTTCTCCCACTTACATTTCTCAGGACAAATGTTGCCTTTCACTTCACTGCCAGCCCCTCTCAACCTCAGGTAAGTGAAGGGTGTCAAGGTTATGATTCTACTATTAGTGTTACCCATAGTGTTACTATGGTAATAGGTGGAGTCAGCAAGTGGTATTCTCCTTCATATTTCACAGCTTAAGATGTATTTGTATTTTTGGAATGTTACTCATGTCACTAGAACTTTGGACACAACATTTAATCTTATCACCTGAATTGATGTGAAATGGGAGGCATGATATTTGTAGATATTCCTTGGCTCAATTTTCATTTAGCAGGTCTACTATGTACCTACTATGTACCAAGCAGTGTTAGACTGTACTTGGTGGTGGGAAGAACAGGATGAAGAAGGGAAAGATGCAACTTCTGCCCTCATGGACCTTTTATAATCAAGATGGGGGTGAGGGACAGAGAAGTAGAAGGCCAACACTAAATGGATACACAAATACTTAATTCACCTGAAGATACAATAAAATAAAACAGATTTTAATTTCTACAGTGTTGTGGATGGAATAAATTAGTTTCTCCTACGTAAAGAGAGTACAGGGATGCTGAAAAATTATAATAAGAATTAGTTATTTGTGTTGTGCTCTCCATTAAACTATAATCATATATAGAATAAATACATGAAAATTTTCATTATTTAAACTGCTTTTCTGGTGACACTTCTGGCTACATTTCTTTTTTTTTCTTTCGTGGATTCTGAAGAAGTAAAGTTTAGGCAATAGTTTAAAACAGATTTGTTGAATGTGCTGATATTTATTGTAAATCTTCTGCAGGCTGTAATACAGTTTTAGTCATGAATGGCTACTTAATTTTTGTCTTGTATATACTAAAACTGGGATTAACACAGTAAATGGACTCTACTGTAAATCTGTTACAACCACTGTGTGATGATAAATATTTAGCAACTAATTTTTAGAGGGAGGAAAAAAACCCTGATTTGTAGAATTTGCCCATTTCTGTGGCATAAATACCTTCATCCTGGTCAACTTTAAGATGCCAAGGTGATGTCATTGAACACAGAGTTGGGGAGAGATGTGTACAATCAGCTCCACAAATCCGTATGAGCTGACTCCCACACATTTCTTGATAAATTTCTCAGCCTCCACAGTGCCTACCTACTGCCACCCAGTGATGGAAGAGGACTACAGGCTCGCAAACCACTGCCCTCAACATTTATTGGCTAGTTAATTCATGAAATATTTGAAAGCACTAGTTAATAGGTGCTATGGGAGATAGCTAGAAAGGGAGGAAAAACCTTGCAGAATGAATATAGTCTAATAGTCCTGTTCAGAGTTATAGTAAATATGATACAGTGAATGCTGTAAGGCACTTTCAGTTTGTGGACTGAAAATCAGTGATGATTATACATTACGGCTTCGTTTTCTTTTAAATGGGTGTGTAAATACTAAAGCCTAAGTAGTTTGTCTATAAACTCCAAACTAGAATAAAGTGTACTTAGAACAAACTGATAAAACAAAATAAAAACTCTTCAAGATCTATAAAAGACTTATTTGTTGTTAACTGTTCCCATTTTGGCCTGAATTTTATATCCTCTCCCACTGTAGAAAAGATTTTCCATTCCTATAAATTAACCCAAACTATTGTGCATTCTCAGACAACCTTCATCATCACTGTCTGCCTCTATTCTTGTAGACAGACGCAGGTTACAGAAACTGGGCAGGTAATCAGGCTCCAAGAGGATGATTTTTGGCCTAAATTCCAGTCATGGCTTTGCGTACTTGTTATTTGCTTATTTCTGATAAAAAGTAGGATATCACCCTAGCTGGTTTGTCTCAGTGGACAGAGTGTTGGCCTGAGGACTGAAGGGTCCCAGGTTTGATTCCAGTCATGGGCACATGCCAGGGTTGCGGGCTGGATCGCCAGTAGGGGCCGTGCAGGAAGCAGCCAATCAATGATTCTCTCTCATCATTGATGTTTCTATCTCTCTCTCCCTCTCCCTTCCTCTTTGAAATCAATAAAAAAATTTTTTTTAAAGTAGGTTATCAAGGCAAGGATCAAAAACGTAATATTAAGGTTTCTGTAGTTGTTTACCGCTTGCACAAAACCAACTCCTATAATATATATATATGTTGCTCATTATTGCTAACAGTAATCGTAGTTATGCTCTTGAGTTACAAAGGTTGGTTTCCCTAAGAACCAAGAACACCTCTTGGTAATTCTAGAGGATTCACCTTTGGAAGAGCCCTGTATTATATGAATTTGATTCAAGCTCCAAAATGAAAGTGCAAAATGAGGTGGGTTCTTAGGAGTATTGCCATCTATTACAAGGTGTGAACAGATTTTCAAATAGCAGTGTTAATGACAGTCCTTAATCTTGAGAAGGCCTTGGATTATTGATAAACATTCTATTCTTATTGCTCTGGTTTTCAGAATAAGGTTAGTAAAGAGGATGTTGCTATGCAAAATTAAGTTTTGACATATTTTGCCTTGCCTTTAAAGTGATAGATTTATTAGAGTCCTAAAATATGGGCTTGTTTTGGTTGGCCCCCTCAAAACCTTAAGCACGTATTTTATGTCAGGTTTCCCAACCAGTTACCATATTTATAATTATTGGGCAGAAGTTCCCTTTCTTCATTATTAGTAACATCTTTAAAAGTTAGAGTTAATAATTTTTTTCAGGGGATTTATAATCTAATTAGGTAAACAGTATTACCTCTTTCTATTATGTTTCCTGATTCTGATGATATGTCAGAATCTAAATACTTTTAGAGATATCTTAGCCTGCTCCAAATTGAGAACATATATTTCAGGGGCTGGATGTAAAGTTTTGTCTTTGAATCTAAATGTCCTCCCACTTCATTCCAGACAGAAAATGAATTATTTAGCAAAAAAACTAGGAGAAGGGTAGATTTATTGCTAATTCTTGCCTGTAGAAAGCTGGTTAAGATTCTTGAAGAACAGGCTTACCTGCTTTACAAGGTGGAGCCTCATATTTCAAAATGAACATATGGAAGTAAATATTGCCTCATATTACATCTCACATATCCCTAATTCAAAGGTTGAGAGATCTTCTTTAAAAAAAAATAGTTTTATTGCTTTGAGAGGAAGGGAGAGGGATAGAGAGATAGCAACATCTGTGAGAAAGAAACATTGATCGGCTGCCTCCTGCACACCTCCTACTGGGGATCGAACCACAACCCAGGCATGTGCCCTGACCGGCAATATTGTATGAAATGCCTACTTTTTTTACTCACTGAAATAGTCCTAATCTCTGGCACAGAGTCCCGAAGAGAGAAGTTGCTCAATACTTGTGAGATGAATGGCTGACTGAATTCATAGAGGTTTACTGAGATGTGCATCTAAACTTTATGCTTAATAATAGAGAAAATGGTCCTACTCATGTGAAAATAGTTTGAGTTCATGACTGTAAACATTTCTTAAGGTTAACAAATCTTTTTCTTATTCTCAGTATTTTCTATACAAATTTCCTGAAGATGTGGACTCAGTTATTATTAAAGTTGTATCTAAAGTGGCTTATCCATGTTCTGTTGTCTCCGTCCAGAATATCATGGTGAGTCTTAATAACTTGTCAACTTTCTAGTGTGGAGCATTATATTGTCTCAGGATAAATGAGAGAGAAGGGTGAAGGATATGTCTGTGTATCTCCTGCAAAACTGCTAAATATTAAGAACAGCATCTCGGGCAGTCAATGTATGCAGACATTGTTTTGGAGCAACAGAAAATAGTTGACTCCTCACCAAAATAAACAAAGGGAAAAAAGGAGGCGGGGCGGGGGGAGGAAGGGAAGGATGGTCATGACAAAGTACAAGGAAGATGAAGTTGTGGACTACAGGAGAAAAAATAGAAACCTACCACTTGTTCTAAGTTTTTAAAATGACAAAAACTGTATGCTTTCACTCACATATGGAATAAAAAACAAAAAAGTAACAAACAAACTAATTAAACAAAAACAAATTCATCGGTACAGACAACGGAATAGGAAGAGGGTGAGGAAAAGAGTAAATTGGGTAAAGGGGGTCAAATATATGCTAAGGAAAGAACTAGACTTTTGATGGTGAGCATGCAATAGAGTACACGATAGAGTTTATAATGTTGTACACCTAAGATTTATACAACGTTATTAACCACTGTTACCTCAATAAATGTAATTTAAAAATTTTTATTGTAACATTAAGCCCTTTCTATCAGGTGTTAAGTTAAAAAGTGAAAAGGTATTAGAAACCTTAGGACAACTTTTCTCTTCCATCTAAAGAGACCTAGACTTTAGAGGACAAGCACCAAGTTTTAGAAAACTGTCTCATGACTGTTCTGGGGGAAACTTCTATGGTTTATGGCTTAGTAAGGGACTCCACTCTGTGTGTCTAGTATGTGCAGCATAACATGATATGATGTTAGTGATGATTCCCTTTTTACCCCTCATGTACATTACAGTGCCCAGTGTATGATCTTGACCACAATGTGGAATTTAATGGTGTCTATCAGTCCATGACCAAGAAAGCTGCCATCACACTACAGGTGAGACGTCACTTCTGTGGTCACTATTATTGATGACAATTTACCTACTGCAGCAGCATTCAAAGGGAATGCCATTCACTGTGTGCCTTGGATCTCCTTCCTTTCCAATTGGTTTTAAAAAGAAAGATTGAGCCCAGCCAGCGTGGCTCAGTGGTTGAACATTGACCTATGAACCAGGAAGTCACGACTTGATTCCAGGTCAGGGCACATGCCCAGGTTGCAGGCTTGATCCTCCCTGTGGGGCGTGCAGGAGGCAGCCAATCAATGATTCTCTCTCATCATTGATGTTTCTATCTCTCTCTCCCTCTCCCTTCCTCTCTGAAATCAATAAAAGTATATTTTAAAAAGAAAGAAAGGAAGGAAGGGAGGAAGGGAGGGAGGGAGGGAGGGAGGGAGGGAGGGAGGAAGGGAGGAAGGGAGGGAGGGCAGGCGGAAGGAAGGAAGGAAGGAAGGAAGGAAGGAAGGAAGGGAAAGAAAGAAAATGTGCATGAAATCAAAGCTTGGGCGATGTCGAACAATGCTACTGCCAGGTGCCCCATTCCCCCTGGGGAATCTTGGGAACCCATAATGCAATGGGACATATATCTGACAGGCTACCTAGAAAGTAAAGGCAGAATATTTCAATCTACTCAATGGGTGATGCAAATTTAGGGTAAAGTTATCTCATCCATTGAAAGCAATTAAATGTAGAAGAAGAAGAATTTGTATCAATAATAGTAAGCAAAAGAGGACTTCAGCTGGGCAGAATGGACAGCCTTAAGGAATATGGGGTAATAGAGGGATAAAGGAAGACAAATAATTGGTGATAGAAGATGATTTGACTTTGGGTGGTAGACACACAATGCAATATACAGATCATGTATCATAGAAATGTACACCTGAAACCTGTGTGGTCCTATTAACCAATGTCACCCCAAGAAATTTAATTTTAAAAACATTTAAAGGAATATGGACCATATTTGTGTAGCAGTTTCGACATTTGTAACCAAATTTTTATTTCAATGGTAATTGTATGTTTGGCAATAAATTGTTACTTCTCTTTTGGGCCCATGATTCTGTCTTTGGCCATTTTCTCAGAGATACCAGAAATTTGGGGATGTTAAGAGAAAACAGAGTTGTAGAAATAGAATAGACCTTAAAAGATCATCTTCCCAACCATGCTTCATTCGTGGATAAGAAAACTGGGACACAAAGAAACAAACTTAGAGAAAGTCAAAGCCAGGACTAACTCGGGTCTCCTGGCTTGTTTTTGCCTCCCTAAACTAAACTATTTATTTAACTGCTGACTGTATGACTTTTAGGAAAATCATTTATCATTAGACTAGAGGCCCGGTGCATGAGATTTGTGCACTGGAGGGGAGCAGTCCCTCAGCCCGGCCTGCACCCTCTCGCAGTCTGGGACCCCTTGGGGGATGTCACCTGCTGGCTTAGGCCTGATGCCCCCGGGGATGGGGCCTAAGCCGGCAGTCTGACATCCCTCTCACAATCCTAGGCTCTCGCAGTCCGGGACCCCTCACTCCTTACCGCCCACCTGCAGTGGAGGCAGGAGAGGCTCCCGCCACCACCGCTCTGCTCACCAGCTGTGAGCCCGGCTTGTGGCTGAGTGGTGCTTCCCCTGTGGGAGCACACTGACCACCAGGGAGCAGCTCCTGCATTAAGCCTTTGCCCCCTGGTGGTCAGTGTGCACCATAGCGACTGGTCGTTCCACCGTTCAGTCAATTTTCATATTATGCTTTTATTATATAGGATTTTAAAATAATAAAAATCTAATATAGTTAATTTTAAAATAAAGCTCATTAATTTTTAAAAAAATATTTAAGTATGAACTATTAAACATAGGCTATTGGCATTATTTATATGGTGCCTATCTTATCATAAGAACATATCATAAGATTGTTATGTCTTATGCAGAAGAAGGATTTTCCAGGTGAGCAGTTCTTCGTGGTGTTTGTGATAAAGCCTGAAGATTATGCTTGCGGAGGATCTTTCTTCATCCAGGGTAAGAGAGAGTGATGAGTATACTTGGCTACTTGTAAAAACCTGACCCAGGGGAATGGAAGGGAAGTTAAAAGCTCACTTTGGCCCTTTATGACCATTTCTAGTCCCAGTAAGTGAGGGCCATCAGCCATGACTTGATAAGGCAGCTGATAGATACTTGAGAATAAAATAAAGGTAAGAAAATGATAAATCTAAAAGTATTAGTGATACTACAAAAGGTCACTTAGTGTATTTCAAGATCTTATGCTCTCTCAGACCACATGAAGTTGGCTCTTCACTCAACAAATATTTGCTACTAGAAAGTATTGATTTGTATGCAGCAGACCAAGGTCCATTTTCTAAGATTGGTTTGGTAGCCAAGAGTAGTGGAGCCACTTATATTATTCAGTAGTGATCATTTCCATAAGGATGTGCAAGGAAAATTGAGTTCTCAATTTTGGTTGCAAAAATTATACCTTGCAAGATAGCAAAGTGGGACAATGACAATGACAGAGGTTGTGTGAGCTCTGAGGCATAATGCAAATGGTTGTCCAGTTACTGAGGAACTACCTTGGGAATAGAATAGGTTGTTGGAAAACACAGGTCCCCAGTAGCTGATGTGATATGTGATCAACACAGAGAGATGTTTATTGTTGAGTGTAACATGGTTCCCTTGGTGTTTAGGTGAAATTTCTGTTCCTGTATTCTTTACTCTCTTAATTTCATCGCTTTATAGAGTTCTGCTAATGTCCAATGTTCTTTGTTAAACTGCATACTCTTTGGTGACTATTTAAGAAAAAACAAGTTCTCACGAGCTAGAAAATACAAGCCAAACTACACCGTGACTTCCTATTTTCGTAGCTGTTTTCTTCATATGTCTGTGGCATGTTGAGCCACGTGGGTATCAAATAAAGGGTCAAGTCTTCTTTATTGAGCAGGGAGGCTGAAGTCTCATTTGCCTCAATTAGTGCTATCAACTGCATCCAATTTGAATGTTTAACCAGAAGGTATATTAGATGATGTGAAGGTTTAGGAGTTAGGTTTTCCTCTAGTTCAGTGGTTCTCAACCTTGGCTGCACATTAGAATCACCTGGGAATCTTTTTTAAATCCTGATTTCTGGGCCTCATCCTCCGGAAATTCTGTTTCTTTGT